TAGCACAATGCTTGACACACAGTAGGTACTATGTCAATGCTTATTCTCTTTTCCTAGGGGTTTCTTTTCAATCACAAGGAAGCAACAAGGCCATTTACTACACTGTATGTTGAAAACATTTACTAAAAATAACTCCCTGGTTCATGAATTCCTGCTGTTTCACCTGTCAGTACTTTTTCAAACAGAAACACTGGGAATTTATGTACCTGAAACTGAAGAAAATAAATGCTTTAATGATATGCATGTTCTTAGGCTGGCTATTTTTTTTTTAGTGACAACATTTGGTATTCAGACACTGGCTCCAAACTGCTTCAAATACATTTCCTTGTTAGTGGTCACATATAACAAGAGCCTAGTGTATTATGCTGGAGTTTTTTTAATTTACATAAAGGTCTGTGTTACATGGAAGAAGAGGGCTGCTGGTTGGTTTCCATGGCAGCAGTGATAAAGTATTACAGTCAGTCCCACAAATTTTCTCCCTCTGAAAGGTCATCAGGAAGAAAGTGCCATTTTTGTTAGAAGGTTCAATAAAACTTAGCATTTTTAAAGATGATCCTAAAGATGATTCTTAGATGATTCTACTGATGAGGTAGGTAGTTTTGATATTACCCCTTCTTGGGATGAAGTGATTGATAAGTCAACTTGATTCAAAACAAACATTTATTTATCTTCTCCATTGTACATTTTTTCAAAAGCATTGCATATGGAAATAACACTAAAGAAATCCTCAGTGATCTAACATCACATAGCTCTACCTACCTCAGAAATCCCGAGCAACTTTTATGTGTGTTTTTGAGTATAGCTCAAAAACCTTCAATGGCTCCCCATTGTCTGTGGAGTCAAATCTAAGTTCCTTAGCCTGGCATTCAAGGCCGCCCACAACCTGACACCAATTTAGGTGAGGCAGTGGATGGAGCTATTGACCTGGAGTCAGGACCCTGTGTTCAAATCCAGCTGCAGACATTTACTAGCTATAAATTTTATATCTAGAATAAGTAACACAAAGCACACCCTCAGCTGGGGAGGGGCATGGGGCATTGATACATGGTGGGAGCACAAAGATCCTTGGGTGCTGGTACAAGGCCACTATTTGAGGGGTCCTTGCAATGTATCTGTGTGCATATGTGTCAGGGTGGTTTTTGGAGAGGAGCTCATCTTATCCAGTGATCTGGGTTTTACTATAACTAATTACTCTTTATAAACAGGTGTTAAGCTCTGTTGTTTCTACAAGGCTGAGATGCTGCAAGTGCTTTGTGTCATTTAAATCTGATGCCTTAAAAGTTCCAGTTTCCTTAACTTAGTTTCAGCTTCTTGTTGTTGCTATGAAGTCATTTTTCGGTCACGGCTGACTCTTTGTGACCCCATTCTGGGTTTTTTTTTTTGGCAAGGATACTAAAGTAGTTTGCAGTTTCCTTCTCCAGTTTATTTTGTAGATGGGGAAACTGAGGTAGGCAGGGTTTAGTGACTTGCCCAGGGACAGCTAGTGTCTGATGCCAGATTTGAACTCAGGTTCTCATGACTCCAGGCCTGGCACTGATGCCTAACTAGCACAGTGCCTAGTACAGAATAAGTGCTCAACAAATGTTTGCTGCTACTGCTACTGGTGATTGCTTAATTTCATATCTCATGAGGATATAAAAGCATCAAAGGCTCCATTGTTCTCAATTTGGTTGTAGTCATGTTGAAAGAGCCATCCATAAAAGCCTTTGATCAATAGGTTATTTAAATTGGGGCCTAGAAAACCCAATATTGGAATATGGGAAATTCTTATATTGATACCCAAGGGATATTTCAGAAATCCACTTTAAATACAATAATGATAACAAGCTGTGAGTGAATATCTGTCTTGGGAGAAAGTGTCCAACCTAGTTTCTGACCTCTATTCTCAACTTCCTGCTTCTCATACTTTGGTAGAAATGGATATCTAATCCCAGAACCTGATGTAATGTCACAGTGTAAATTCAGTGGACAGGTGGCCCAATATTGTAGCAAAATGCTTCTCTATGAATATGAACTAAAAGGAAATGAGGTGTTTTGCCTGGAGACTCAGGGGCACAAGAATTTGAAAGGATTTGCATATCAATATGCAAGAAGGATTAGATTTGTTCTGTTTGGATCCATAAGGTAGGACTAGGAGGTACAGGTGATGGTTATAAAGAGGCAAATTTGGGCTTAATGTGAGAGAAAAAAAAAACAACAAACCAAACTTCCTTACTATGTGAACTGTCTCCAGATGGAACTGCCTGCATTGGGAGGTAGCTGGTTTTCCTTTGAATATTGTTGTTATTCAGACATGTCTACATGACCCCATGGACAAATCCATGGGGTTTTCTTGGCAAAGATACTAGAGTGCTTTGACATTTCTTTCTCCAGTGTGTTCCCATTTTACAGATGAGGAACTGAGGCAAATAGGGGTTAAGTGCTTGCCCAGGGACACACAGCTAGTAAGCGAGGTCACATTTGGACTCAGATCTTCCTGTCTCCAGGCCTGGTGCTCTATTCACTGCACTACCTAGCTACCATATCATCAAAGACTGGGTGACCACTTATTGGGTGTATTGTAGAGAAGATTCTTTTGGGAGTTATAGTTGAATTAAATAGTCACTGAACTCCCTTCTGACTCTCAAATTCTTATTCTGAAATAAGATTCAGATCTCCTGACTTTCAGGACTGGACTCACTGTTCTTTGAGGTCTTTTCTAGGTCTAAAGCTCAACTTTAGGTTGTGAATTTGACCCTTTTGCAGTGTTTCTTCTGATAAAATGAAGTATGCAATAAAACATTTATTGGAGCCCTAACCAGCGAACTCCCATAATTCAAATCAACATGCTGCATCATCCTTGGGGGCCTGATGCACTCTCCGTTTTCAGGGACTGGACAAATACTCCACAGAGGAGCAAGTGCTCTAACGGTCAAGCAATGACTCCAATGGGTCAGAAAAGCACCCAGAATTTTAGCCTCAGCTCATCTGCATTCTCCCACCTCAATTAAAGTGCATGAGTTAATCCTTTATATCTGGAATATACTCTCCTACTCAACTCTGGTTGTGGAAGTCTATCTCCTCAGCTCAATGCCACTTTTCCAGAGGTCCCCGGAGGAAAGTGATCTCTCCTCCTCACATCTTTCTAGAGCACTTTGTCTTGCTTTGTCCCTATCATAGCCCATCTTGTTATCATGTTTATGGATCTGTCATGTGCTGCTCATTAAATTTTAGGTTTATTAAGATCAGAGACTTCACAGCTTTGTATCCCCCATATCTAACACAGTGGTTTGCACTTAGAAGTTGCTTAAGAAACATTTGTTGAATTGAATTATCCCTGACTTAAATCCTTTACTTTTTCACATTCCCTCAATACAAGAAATAAGATTGTAGAAGTGATTTCTGAATAGGATGAGATATGATGGACTAGATGACCTCTAAGTTTCCTTCCAATTTTAAATTTGTAGAATTATGGTGGAAACAACCCTTTTCTGATAGTTGGAAGACCTGGGTTTTAATTCCAAGTCTCAATCACTAGCTGTGTGAAAATTACTGTATTTAGGCGTCAGTTTCTTCATCTGTAAAAATGAGGGGATTGAAAAAGATGACATTCAATGTCTTTTCCAAGATTATTTTTAAATTTGTGTCTTTAGAAATTTCATTTATTTGCAGTATAGTTAGATGTGGACCTTATTTTCATCATCTTCCACTTGGACCATTGTAATAGCTTTCTAATTGGTCTCTCTGTCTCCAATCTCTCCCCTTTCCAATATATCTTCCACATAGCTACCAAATTAATACTACTAAAACATAGATTTAACTATGCCAACTTCCTACTCATAGTCTTGAATGGCTCCCTATTGCTGCTAGGATAAAATAAAAACTCTTTAGCATATTAAAACCCTTCTCATATTATTTTTCTTCACGTACTTTCTAGTCTAACCAAATTACCTTATTAGCTAGTCTTTATATATGACATTGGCAGCTAGGTGGCACAGAGGATAGAGTGTGGTGCCTGAAGTCAGGAAGACTCATCTTCTTGAATTCAAATCTAACCTCAGACACTCACTAGCTGTGTAACCCGGGGCAAATCACTTAACCCTGTTTGCCTCAATTTCCTCATCTGTAAAATGAGCTGGAAAAGGAAATGGCAAACTGCACCAGTATCTTTGCCAAGAAAACCCTAAATGGGGTCATGAAGAGTTGGACACAACTGACATGACTGAACAACAACAATGAACGTATATGACACTGCGTCTCCTCCCCACTCTATGCCTTGGCAGAAGAAGTCCCTCATGTCTGGAATGCACCTCCTCCTCCTCCTCCTCCTCCTCCTCTCTGCCTTGCAGCATCCTTAGTTTCTTTCAAAGCACAGCTCTGATGGCACCTTCCATGTGAGGTCTTTCCCGATGTACCTAATTATTAGCATTCTCCACCACCAGAAATTAACATTTCTTTAAGGCTCTGTAAAATGACGGAGTTGGAGTATGTGATCTCTGAGGTCCTTTCCAGATCTAAATCTATGGTATGAAAATGTAGATTTTACACTATTAATAGCTCTAAGTAGTGTTGTCTATAAAATGCACTTGTGTAGAATTGTGCATATTAAAAAGTGAACTTGTATCATTTGGAATCTTTCTTTTTTATTTCAAATTAAAAGTCAAACTATTTAGTTTTGTCATGTAGATGGACACAGATGTATTAAGTAGTTTAGATTATTTTGGCAATGGATGTTCTCAGAAGATGAATTTTTTTAACTCACGTATAAATTAACTATATATAATACTTAAACAAATCAGTTCAATAATTTTTAAATTACTTAATGGTAAGAAAATAGAAATAGACCTTTGAATAGACTTTGCTCAAAATTAAAAATGAGAGAAGTTTCAAAAATTATGAGTAAAGAAAGAAGCTCTCAATGAAAACATTTCAATTCCATTTTGCTTTCATAATGACTATTGTGAACAGTGTAATTACAGTAAGGATTTTTCTATTAACTCATTATATTTATACATACTTACATCTTCTTTACTTCTGTGTATTCGATGAAAACTTCATCTGGAAGAATGTGTATTTTATTTTTCTTAAGAGACCTAAAATGATACAGTAAATAATTCAGGTTTGTTTGAGTTAAGTTTGATTCAACAAACATTTATTAAACAATTACTCTAGCCAGATACCATGCTAGGCCACTGAGACAAAAAGACAAAAATGAAACTCTCCCTCTCATCAAGGAATGTCCATCATTCTAATGGCGGACTGTACAAAGTAGAGACAAAGTCATTTCAAGAGAAGGAGGGGACTCTCAAAAGAAATGTGTGGGAGATGATACCTAACTTGTGTACTGAAATAAACCAGGATTTCTAAAAGGTGGAGGTGAAGCAGGAGTGCTTTCCAGTCTTGAGGGACCATGCAAAGGCTCAGCGTCCTCCTCTGTAATCATTTCTCTTTACTAGGACTTTGGGACTCAATCCAGAACTCACACTTCTTGACTGATACTGGTAGAAATAGCACCAACTCTCGTGAAGAGAAAGCTCAGGTTTTGTGATCTCAAAGATTCATTTGGTAACTTGATTCTCAGTGTCATTTTAAGGAATCACTAAAAAGCTATTCCTGCAAATAATAGAAGAAACCAACTGTTTTTCAATATGAGTGAAAAGCACCAGATGTGCCAAGTCTATGCATCTGAAGGTTAGCAAGTGGATTCGATGAATTAAAACATAAATTTAGACAATGTTTGGTCATTTTCCTTTTCTTCTCTTACATGGGTAATTTGTCTAAACCACAAGGTCTCCACCTCCAAACCTTGCATAGATTTTTTTTAATCAGTCAATCCACATGGCCCTGCTACCTGTTTGGAATCTTACATGAAATTCCCTCATTCACAATAACCATCCGAATGAATGGTTGATTTCCAAAGAGCAAATAATGTTCCCCTCTCTTTCTCCCATCCCACTGCCCCAGGGCCAGTCCTGACATACTTGCACAATCATTGGGATCAGACCATAATTAGAAAAGAAATTTGAACATCTAACCAAGCCTAAAGGAGAATCTAGCAATTTAACCAATAGCATTCCAAAAAGTGTTTCTGAAATTCTCAACTGGAAGCCTGGAGGTTTCTATAGTTTGCTAACATACACAGACACTGAGAGCTCTCTTTGGTCCCATGTTACTTTAGTGAAAACCATATTTATCCCAGTGTCCAATTCTACTTACAATAATGTTACATTACTGGAAACCAGTGGTACAGATTTTAAATTCATATTTATACATTCTAGTTCAGTCTCTTTGCAGGCACAACTTTGTGGATATTGCTGTAAATCTAGAGCAGGATAAACATAAAGAAAGAAAAAGTCACTCTAACTAGGAAAAAACTAGTTAACCATAATATTATGCATTCTACCTGTCTTTATTTTTTTAAAATTTTGAACTTAAGAAATAAAAGAAGCATTTTCATAACATAGTAGAATAGAAAAAAGATGATTGTACGTGAAACTACAAATCTATTATGCACAACTTTGTATTCCTTTTAAATATATAATAGTTATCATGTAACTTTTTTCTTTTTGTCTTTCTTCCCCCACCTGAAGATGGATATCATTAGACACAAATATGTATGTGTGTGTATACACACACATACATACATATATATATATGTATATATATGTGTATATGTGTGTGTGTGTGTAAAACCATTCTACATGTGTTCCTATTTATCAGTTCTTTCTTTGGATGCAAGTAGCATGTTCCTTCTCTTCTCTCTGAATATTTAACACCCACCCCCATTAGAATGTATGCTCCTTTCCAGCATTCAATGTACTTGGATCCCCAGTGACTAGCACAGTGCTGGACACATAGTAAGTGCTTAATAAGTACTTTTTGATGAAGGGCAATTATTCAGATGCATCCCAAAGGTAAACTAGGGTTATATGGTGAGTTCAGGGAAAGGAAGTGAATTTAATTGGTCAGAATTACATTGTCAGCAAGAGGGAGATCCAGGATTGGGACTTTGGTCTCTAGGCTCTAAATGGAGAGTTCTTACCACTAATCTATATTATACCTCAGAAATGTGTAAGCAGACAGGATCATTTAATTCATCTCAACAAGCATTTATTTATGGAATGTCTACTGTGTGACCTATGTCTACTATGTGGCCCTATATTTACAGCCTTGTAGCTTCTTAGTTGCTGAATCACCAGAATGTTTCTATTTAATGGGTCATCTTTACAAAGTATTTTCCTAGTTTTTAATATTAATATCAATAATAATAATGATGATGATGATGAGAGCTAACATTGATATAGCACTTATTATGTGTCAGGTACTGTGCTAAGCACTTTACAGTAATTAATCTAATTTGATCCTCAACCCCGAGAACTAGGTGCTATTATTATCTCCATTTTACAGATAAGAAAACTGAGGCAAACAGAGGTTAAATGACTTGCCCGGGCTTGTACAGCTAGTGAGTGTCAGAGGTCACATTTGAACTCAGGTCATCCCTACTCTAAGCTCAGTGTGCTATCCACTACATCACTTAGCTCAGTATGCATACAGGTGACAATTCTGACTCTTTTTGAAATGAGGCCTGTGGTTGCTCTCCCCTTTCACAGCTTTTACTGCCTGCACCCACTACTTCTGTTACATGAGTACCAGAATACTCTGGTTACCCAAAACCTGACAAGTAGGGCCCTTGAGAAATTGAAATACCACTTGGGAGCTTTTCATTTGAAACAGGTGGAAAGTTGGCAGACAGCCTTCACTTCTCAGAAGACACAAAGATGTGTATCTAAAAGCTCCCAGTCCAAACCTTCAAAGAAAAGGGGTGGGGTAAGGGAATAGCCTTTAGGACTAATATGGAAAGACTTTACATATGTTAATTATAGCCAGTAAAGTTCATCCTTCAACCTTACTCATTCAGACCGCTCTTATTGACTTTCTAGCTAGCTAGACCCGATTTGGCTAGGTCTAAGGTGTCTATCTGTCCCTCCCTGACTTAGCTAGGTTCTGTGGATTTGAGCCTCTTTTTTGAACAAACTTGTGGGGTTTGTTGGCTTCTTCCTGATCAGCTAAAGCCAAATGGTGATCCCTGCCTGGTTTTCGCTGTTCCATTGCTGCCCTTGGTGTGAGCATCAGACTAATCTTTGTAGCATTGACTTCAGGGCTGGGGCAGCAGATTGTCAAGGTAAAACATATTCTGAGATGGAAGATTTTTTCTTTGTCTTATGCCCTTGATGATACTGAGCCCACTTTACAAAATCAAGATTCTGTGGTTCATAGGAAAACTCTGTAAGGCATCTAGCTTCCCTCCCTACTTCCTGCCTATTTGTAATGAGATGGAAAGTCTCAGACAAACTTAGGTATTTGCTGAGCCAACAGACCCTGGGGCCAGATATCTTCAAAATCTGATTCCTATTGTTACCTGACCTGGGCACACCACATCTCTGGCCCATCCACACTACGCAGAGGGAGAAGAGTAGTAGTTTCCCTACTCAGGGATCTCTATTTGTGTAGATACAGGGGTGGGGAACCTGAGGCTTTGAGGCCACATGTGGCTGTTTAGGTCCTCAAGTGTGGCCCTTCGAATGAATCAGTTTGGATTCAGTCAAAGGGCTTCACTTGAGAACCTAGAAGGCCATATGTGGCTTTGAGGCCACAGGCTCCCCACCCCTGGGACTCTAGAACATTATAAAGAGCACCAGCCCCTTGAGTCTGGATCCCCTGGAAAGAAACCCCAGGGTGCTACACCAACTCACACACCCCCGCAATGTCAAGTGTTGGAATAGAAACCCAAGACTGAGAGCAGAGGAGGGTCCCTGGCTCTGTAACGCTATCTTATTCCACTGTATAAATAGATAACCTAAGTAGTGCTACTGGCTTACTTTGACTTGTTCAGCGAAAAATATTTAATCTCTAGGTCACCATCATTAGTAAATATTCAGGGGCTACCTTATCTTAGCTTACCTTCAACTTACTGTCAGTAGAAAGTGATTGGAAACAGTTGGTTCAAGGCTGATAGCTAAACTACTACCACCTGGTATCAATATGATTTATTAAGCTCCTGCTCTATATCAAGCCTGAGAGGGATAGTGGATATAGAACTGACAGTAATACCAGGAAGATCTGGGTTCAAGTCTCCCTTCTGACATCTGAGTGTGTGTGACCAGGTAAGTTACTTACCTCTCATTGCTCTAGGCAAGTATAAGCCTATAAATTATAAAGAAGGTGCCATTTTGTGTTGGTAGAACCTGTTTCCTCACCACAGAGTTCTCTATAACATCAGTTCTCAAATTACAATCTGAGTTTCCCTGGGGATTCCCAAGACTTTCAGGTCATGAGGTCAAAACTATTTTTACAATAACACTAAGACCTTTTGACTTTTAAAATGGTAAATATCAATATCTATCTATAAATATATACATATATTCCAATAAATGAAAGCTCTTTGGAGGGCTCTCAATAATTTAAAGAGTGTAAAGGGGTCCTGAGACCAAAAAAGCTTGAGAACTATTGCCTAGAGCAGTTAAATCACAGGTCCAGAGCCTATACCAATGTGGTAAATATTAGGGATACAAAGACAAAAATAAAACAAATTTTATTAATTAAAAACCAATTTTATTAATAAAACCAATTTTATTAATAAAACCAATTTTATTAATAAAAACTAATTTTATTTATTAAAATTTAAAAGAGCAAATTCCCTGCCCTCAAGGAATTTACATTCTATAGGGTGTGGACACTTTGCAGCAAAGGTTATAACAATGATAAATGAGATAATGTATAAATTGCTTTGTAAACCTTAAATCTTTAAATAACTGCTAGCTATTATTATTATTAACAACTCACATTTGTCCTGTGCTTTAGGTTTTCCCGAGCAGATCTCCTATAACAAGCCAGCGTACGTGTCTCTGACACAAAAACTATGAAGTTAGCCATGTGTCCAGTTCTGGGCTTGACCCTTGCTCCTGGGGGAGCAATTGGTGAAATATTCTTGGCCTTTTGGTATTGTATTACCCAAGTTACTGAAACTAACCACTTATTCAAGGGAAAAATAGGATGGGGGTGGTAAGAGATTCAGAGGGAGATGACCCTAGAATCATATGAGAAAGATCCATATGGAAATCTATATCTATATATAATTGAAGCCATATGTCTATATACATATATATGTCTATATGTCTGTGTCTATATAATATATACGTTGTGTGTATGTATTTATTGTATATTAATTTCTAAATGCTCTTTCTTGTATGATTATATATATGTATATCTAAAACCTGTGCCCCTGACTGGGAATAGGTTTCAGGATCCCTGCTGCCAGGGCCTTTGACCTGGATGTAGAAGTCGGTTGGGTGACTGAGGCTAAAGGTTCTGATGCCAAGGACAAGCCATCAGCTCATGTCCAGAGTCAGGTTGCCCCTGGGCACATAGACATACTAGAAGAAGGGTGGAATGGAGGTGGGGGAATGCAGGTTTTTTCTTCTGGACACAGCTGTGGAAGGCTACTTTTTAGATGAGGAGGACTGTTCATATTCAAAGACAAGGCCCTTTAAGGCATGGAGGTTTCAAACTCAACGGACAAGACTCGCTGAGTAACTTTGAGCTGTCTTGGATAAAGGTCTCATTCATTAGGGGGAACATTAGCAAAGCAGCAACTTTCTAAGGCCTGATCTGCTAGACCTAGGCTCACGTAGCTGAGGGTAAATCAGATAACCATTAAAATTGTCACTTGCCTAACCCTTGTTGAGATAGGGGTTAGACTAACTGGCCTCTAAGGTCTCTTATGGCTCTGAGATTACGTGATCCTAACATTAAATATGAATGTCCTGTCTTCTGGCATTTAGGAAGGTTTAGCTTTACCAGTTGTGTATTTTGCCTAGTTCTGGGCCATCAACAGGACCTGTGCTGGTATGCTCATCTCCCCTTAGGTCTTTGTGGTGTCTCAGGCCAATGTATGACATCCCTTCGATTGGACTATAAGCTTATTGAGGATAGAGGGATGTGTTTCTCCTTTGGCACACAATATCGGATAGAAGGATTGTGCCACTAGTAGGCAGTTTAAAGTACCTGCAGAAATAGATGCTTACTAACTGTTAAGTGACAAATTGGCTAGACATGGTGGGCATACACCTGTAAATCACTGTAAGCGGGGAGGATGAAGATAGTGGAAGCTTGAGCTCAGAACTTTTGAGGTACAAGACCCTAAATCAGTAAGGTCTCCTTACTAAGTTCAGCACCAACATGGGAGTGGGGGACCACCAGACTGCTGTCTAAGGAGGAGGGAAGCAGCCCATATTGGAAATGGAGTAGGTCAAAGATTCCCTGCTAGTCAATTCTGAGATAGAGAAAATGAGTCTCGAAAAAAAAGAAAAGAAAAGAAAAGAAAAGTGACTGATGGATGAACTACCAGAGTTAAAAGCTCTTCGATTTCATATTTCTGGGCATAACAAATGGTCTCCTAGACCCAATAAACATATGAAGGCTACAAACTGATTCAGTCTCTCTGGCAGTAAAGTTTTGTATATTGTCAAAATGAACCCAAATCAAAGTATCCCTACTAGTGGGAACTACCCTATGTTTCAGGACGACTTGGCTTAGAATTGTCCTGTAGAAGCATACAGGCTGTGTAACTCTGAGTAAGTAACAATTTCTCCAAACCTTGGTTTCTTCATCTATAAAATAGGGATAATAATAGATACAATCTTAGAGGGCTGTTGTGAGGATCAAAGAAGAGAATGTATTGAGGGCTTTTTGTAAATAGTAAAGTGTTATGTCAATATGAGTTCTTGTTAGCAAGAAAAACATTTCAAAGTATCTTTCAAAACCTCACTTTGCTTTTAGTGTCGTGTCAAATGTTATACACTGAAGAATTTAAAGATAAGTCTCTGGATAAGCAAATATGACCATATTGAATTCAATAAACATTTAAATGCCTTCTATGTACTAGATGCTATGCTAAGTCATGTGGATAAAAAGACAAAAACATCATCATCATTATTATTATTATTAGCCTTGAAGGAGGTTACACTCTATTGATATTCTATATTCATGGCTGATGAAGATTTAAACTTGACTAGATGTCATTATTGATCAAAATAAATGCTACCTTTCCCATTTTGCTTAAAATATGTCCAGTAATGTAATTTTAATTGAATAAGTATTCTTTTAGGCGTTAGCAACTTTTCATTTGAAAAAAAAAAGGGTTCTGTTTGGGGGAAAGATCACAGCAATAGAAGCAATTGTCTTAACTCCCTACCCTACAGCATGGTGGATAAGCATGTGACACTGCCATGTTTTTCCTTCCTTCTCCCCTCCCCCCTCTCTCCCTCCCTCCTTTTTCCTTTCATTAATGAGTATTGGAGTTGAATAGACCAGATTACACCTTGTCAGCTTGAAAGGTTAAGAATACCCTTTAACAGTCCCCTACCGACTGGAATGAGAGCATCAGGAATTGAGTTCTGTATGAGCCACCTCTGAGGATCACCCTGCCCAGGAGTGACTAGCCCAGGAATGTGAGCTACAAATAAAGGAGTACATTCTTCTATCAGCTGTGCCACACAGGAGTGAACTAGACGGGGGAAATGTTGACTAACAATCACTTTAAGTTTGAGTCCCTTCTTCTTGGGGACCAAGGAGTAAGTACATAGAGGGGAGAGTGTTCTCCTGGTTTGGAAGGTTATTGAGCTTCAGGACCTGCTATTCTTTCTCAGTAAATAATCTTTTGTAAAATTAAAAATACAGACACACATTAAAGTTCTCAATGTTTCTATAAAGAATGATATCTGTACTCCCTACAGTGCTTAGTTAATACCCTACTTTTTCTTCCTGATAGCCTGTTAATACACAAGAATAACCACAGTGGGATGACACATTCATCTTTTTTCTCTCATCTTTTTCCTGTCTCGTGAGGAAAAAAAAAAAGAACGTGTTGATTTATGAAAATCTCACCCCTCCCCACCCCCCAGGCAAATCCATTTGTGGGAAAAAACTGACCAAGCTGTAAAATCCCAATCCCCAGATATATTTCTATGCACCCCACAAATCATTGTCTTGGTTATAATGTTGCATCTCTGAACCTTTCAACCAATTCCACTTACAGCATTCCTGTGATAATTCCATATTATTAGGATTTCCATGAACTGTGTCAAAGATACTGGCCCATCCACTATTGTCTCCTATAAAAGAGTAATGAAACCTTGTATCAATTTTCTAGTAGAACTGATATCCAATTATAAAACAGAAAGTATGAAAATTACATTAAAACTGCTAATGAAGTAAGTTAAATGATTGTACACTTTAATTAAAAGAATTTTATTTTTAACAATCAGGTAAAGAGGATTTAGGAGCTAGGAAAACATTAAGTGGGCTAATTGTTACTATCTATATTTCAAAAATATGCAGATATGTCCTACAAGTCACTTAATCTCTGTTTGCCTCGGCTTCTTCAACTGTAATGTTGTTGTTAAGTTGTTTCAGCCATTTCTGATTCTTCATGACCGTATTTGGACTTTTCTTGGCAAGGATAGTGGAGTGGTTTGCCATTTCCTTCTCCATCTCATTTTACAGATGAGGAAACTGAGGTGAATAGGGTTAAGTGACTTGCCAGTCACACAGCTGGTAAGTATCTGAGTTCAAATTTGAACTCGGAAAGATGAGTTTTCCTGACTCCAGGCCTGGCACTCTGTCCACTGTGCCACCTAGCTTGTCCTGTTTGCCTAGTTTCTTTAACTGCAAAGGGAGTATCATAACACTTTTCCCACAGAGTTGTTGAGAGGATCAAGGGAGATAACTGTAAAGTGTTTAGCATAGGACCTGGCGTATAGTAGGTGATATACAAATGCTAATTATCTTCCCTTTCCACTGGAGTCCAATGGGCCTAGAAAAGGACAGTAAGCATATCTATTGTCCAAAGGTTGACACAGCTATGTTCTAGAAGGTTCAATCCCTGAAGCCAAGGCTTAGTGGCTTTTTTATGATTCATTTTAGTCAAAGCAACTCAACAAGACTTGTTTACTAAGGCATAGCAGAGTTATGATTTGTGTCAGTAGAAGAAATGCCTTTATGGATACAAACATATATTCTTAAGGTAGTGCAATATATGTAAACTTGTCAATGTATATCATATGTAGCAATCATAGATAAATATAGGTAGCCATTTGCAACATGTCCTTTATTACCAAATCTTTACAGTAAGCAATTTTATTGTTCAATCTTAAACTTGAGAATTGTTTTCCTCTCTCCCCCTCCCCTGCCCTACCCTCATTAAATTATAGTCTAGGAAAGCAAGAACTTTCATATGAAACTGAAAATACAGCGGAAACACCCAAACTATATGTTTCAGCTTCCTGTAACTCAGTTTTATCAGACATGTTTTCCCCCAGTAATACCTATGAGAACAGCCAATAAAAATTTGTAAAGTTGACATTTTATAAATTAAACAACAAAGCTGATCTAATATTAATTAATTTTCTGAACTAATTGGTGGTAAAAACTCCATGCCTAATATGTCAGGACACTGGATAGAATGAATGAATAGCTAGCATCTGAATAAATTAATGACTTAGTCAATTTAAAAAGCATTTATTAAGTGCTTACTATATCCCAAGTACTGTGTTAAGTGTAGGGATATAAATTAAAAAAGCAAGACATCCCCTTTTCTCAAGAAGCTTACTTTCTAATAGGGAAAGACAACACGTATAGTGGTATGCTAGCCAAGGTTGGGATAACAACCCATACATAATGTCCTTGAACATCACTTCTTAGTATAATACATTTGTTATTGTTGTTGATTAGTCATGTCTATCTTATCTTGACCTCATTTGGGGTTTGATACTGGAGTGGTTTGCCATTTCCTTCTCCAGCTCATTTTACAGATGAGGAAACTGAGCAAACAGGGTTAACAGTGACTTGCCCAGGGTCACAAAGCAAGGAAGTATCTGAGGCCAGATTTGAATTTGGGTCCTCGTAACTCCAGGGCTGGCACTATCTACTGCTCCACCTAGTTGCCTAATCATAAGAATAGATATTTTAAAATAAAAAACATATAACATATCACAATAATATACATACATAATACATATAAAATTTATACATAATTATACCTCTACTTCCTGCAAGCTGGATACATAAAGACAGTTTTTCATAATCAATCAATTAAGGGGTTACTGTTTTAAAATAGAGTTCTCATTTTACAAAGAGATTCCCTATATGATACCTAGTACAATCCTTCTTGCTCATTTAATATATAATTCAGTTCACTCGTGGCTTTTCAATAGCACCTCAAGTAAAGTATACCTATATTGTTTAGTGACAGATACTCACCACAGTTTTCTTCATCAGCCCCATTTCCACAGTCATTCACACCATCACAATGAAAAGCCCGAGGTAAGCATTTTGTAAGATTTCCACAGGGAAAAAATCCCTTTTGGCACAAAGGGCTAACTGAGCTGCCTTCAGTCAGTGTGAATTCTGTAGATAGGGTAAAAAAGACAAATTGTAGACTAAATTATAGAATAGAGACACATATGGCTTAGGAAAACAAGGACTCTCAGTTCTAGAGTGTGAGTGAAGACACTTAACATTGCATTTAGGAAAAAAACACATTACAAAGGGGATTCAGACCACTGACAAGGCCACAGGAGAAAGGAAAAGCATAATCTGGAATGTTGAAGGAGGTCTGGTCCCTGTACGTCAAGAAAGACGTCAAGCTCTCTAGTGAATTAGCTAGAAAAGGTTCCAAGCACTAGAAGGATTGAATGGATGGATGTCTTTGTGAGAACAGACAAAAACTAGGACTCCATTCTGTTTATAAAATTATTAAGGATATGAATAGGGTAACCATAGATTTGTTTACCCAACCACAGAGTTCTAAGACTAGGGTGGAAAATTTCAAGTTTGAGAAAAATAGTTTCAGGGTGAATAAAAGAAAGTATTGTTTTACCCAGTAGATTATAAACTTATAGAAGTCACTGTTTTAAGAAGCAGTTCAATTAAAAAAATCAAGATAGTTTCAAAAAGGAGATGAAGTAACAGATCTATAGATAAAGAGGTATTACAATAACAGTAGTTACTTCATGGGGTTATTCCAGGTCTCAAACAAGACAATACAATAAAATACTTTGCCAAGTATGCTTGATGTCAGGGTGAACAATCAAGCTCTTATACAAAGCATTCCTTGGGTGACTTACATGGATCAGCCCTTATGTTATAAAGGTGAAGTCCTCTATGGATGTATGTGGTGGGGAGAACATTTCTCTCCCTTTCCACCACTGAAGGTATGTAGTTTAAATGCTGCCTTAGTGAGGCAGCCAGGTTTGAGGGGTATGTTTATAGGTATTATGGCTGTTTTAATAAGCTTTTTGAGATAACTGACTTATTTAAAAAAGATGAAAAGTCTTTATTACTGTTGCAGCTGGGAGGAAGGTCTAATATGTGCTTAGTGTTTCCAGGCCATCAGAGGTATCAGGGACAGGGTTTTGTCCTTGTGACTTGGGAGAGTGGTGGTTAAACTTGCCCAATCAAAAAGAAGAGAAATGTCTCCCATATTTTCAACACAGTTGTACCTAACTTTCATTTAAAAAGGGTAGACAGACTATCTAATAAGAAAGAAATAGAAAGTAAATGGAAAACCCAATACAATGTGGAAAAGACTGACATTCCCTGGGATTTGTTCATGCCCAGCATATGACCTGGTACTGATCTGGTACAACATCCAGTGAGATAACATATATAAATTGCTTTTCAAGCCTTAAAGAGCTATGTAAATGCTAGCTATTATTATTGTTATTTAAAGAAATAACAAGGAGAACATTAGTATTTATTATCATAAATAAAATTAAGCCATCCAAGTAATTAATTTTCCAGTGGGATAGCCAGGCAGCTGCAGATGGAGAGAGGGAAGGGAATAATTATTCATTATGTACCTAATGCTATGTGCCAGATACTGTGCTAAATTCTTTACAAATATCAACTTATTTGGTCCTCGCAACAACCCTGGGATATAGGTGCCATTATGATCCCCATTTTATAGTTGAGGAAGCTGAGACAGACAGAAGTTAAATGACTTGCACAGGGCCACATAGCTAGTAAGTGTATGAGATTGGATTTGAACTTAGGTCTTCCTTACTCTAGGGGAAGCTAGGTGGTCTAGTGGATAGAGTGCTGGTCCTGGAGTCAGGAAGACTCATCTTCCTGAGTTCAGATCTGGCCTCAGGCACCTACTGTCTGGGTGACCCTGGGCAAGTCACTTAACCCTGTTCTCCTTGGTTTCCTCATCTGCAAAATGAGTTGGAGAAGGAAATGGCGAACCACTCCAGTAGCTTTGCCAAGAAAACCCCAAATGGGATCATAGAGAGTTGGATACAACAAACAACTGAACAAAGACAACTTCCTGACTCCAGGATCAGTGCTCTATCCACTGAGCTTTTGAGTGATCTATCATAGGTTAATTAATAATAGCAACATCACTGGCATTTATATGGTACTTTAAGCACTTGTTTTACATACACAGTCACAATTTTGAGATATTGAATCTGAGACTAGGTATTATGAATATTTTGAAACAAAGACATTTCATTTCTTTCAATGAACATAATCTACAGGGTGCTATATAGACAAATTACTTATCTATGTATTCTGTGTATTTCATGCTACCAGACACCTACAGGAATAAAAAGAGGACCCTAGGAAGGAACCCTTCTTTCCTAACTTACTTTTCTTTTTTATTGATTTTTTTTTATTTTTAGTTTTCAACATTCACTTCCATAAGATTTTGAGTTCAAAATTTTCTCCCCCTCTCTTCCTTCCTCCCTCCCCAAAATGGTGTGCAATCTGATATAAGATCTACATATACATTCCTATTAAACATATTTTCACATTAGTCACATTGTAAAGAAGAATTAGAACCAATAGGAGTAACCACAAGAGAGAAGAAATGAAACACAAGAGAAGAAAAAAAAAGAGCAAATAATATGCTTCCATCTGCATTTAGACTCCATAGTTCTTTCTTTGGATGTGGATAGCATTTTCCTGCATGAGACCTTTGGAAATGTCTTAGATCCTTGCATTGCTGAGAAAAACTAAATCTATCAAAGTTGGTCATCTCACAATGTGACTGTTACTGTGTACAACATTCTCCTGGTTCTGCTCACTTCACTTGGCATCAGTCCATACAAGTCTTTCCAGGTTTTTCTGATGTCCACTTGCTCATTATTTCTTATAGCACAATAGTATACCATTACATTTATATATCACAACTTGTTCAGCTATTTTGCAATTGATGGGCATTCTCTCAATTTTCAATTCTTTGCCACCACAAAAAGAGCTGCTATGAATATTTTTGTATCTGTGGGTCCTTTCCCCATTTTTAGGATCTCTTTGGGATACAATCCTAGAAATTGTATTGCTGGGTCAAAGCGTATGCATATTTTCATAGCCCTTTGGGTATAGTTCCAAACTGCTCTCCAAAATGGTTGGATCAGTTCACAACCCTACCAACAATGCATTAGTCTTCCAATTTTCCCCACATCTTCTCCAACATTTATCATTTTCCTATTTTGCCATGACTAGCTTACTTTTCTAATGCTGACATTCTCATCCCAGTAATGAAACCCATTTGGGGTTTCTATCCTTCTTTAGCTACTATATACAGCTGATTAATTTGTGTACTCCCATTATCAAATGGATTTTTATCAAGCATCCCTTCTAACCTAGGCCCTGAGTGAGAGCTAACATCTCTTTGTGGAAAGTACATCTTACTGTTTACTCTCTGCACCATCTGCAGATGTCAAGAAAAGCAGTTTTTATTGAAACTTGACGACTGATAAAAGTGGTAGGTCTATGGAGGAAAAATGAGAACAATGATCCTAATAGATTTTGCTATAATCCATACCTGATTATTGCCAAACACATTGCTGAGGGGAGATTTTTACATTCAAAAGTCTATCAGTGACATTTGGGTTTCTGTCCTACAATTGTTCTGCTATTCTATACACATTTGCTCAAAGTGATTTTTCCAAGTATTTGACTGATGATAAACTGAAAGCAGCTAGGCTTCTGTCCCAGCGCCCTACATGTTTCCCATCCACATCTGCCTTAGACTATTGAGAATGAACAGATGAGAAGAACCTAGAGATTGTAGTTTTAAGAATAAGTAGATTATTTATTGCCTGGGAAGTAAGAGGTGATCTTTTTTTCCTACACAGGTTACATAGGTCTCCCTTTATAGTATGATTTGAGAGGACAAGACAGGGTCCCTTACAAATCCAATATTATTCTTTCTTGCCTATTATAGTTTTTGAAATTTTGGAGAGAATCTCTGAGATCCTTTCAATTCTAAAGTTTTATGAGTCTATAAAAGGATCTCACTTACTCCAATACTCCATCACTATGGGTACTCATTCCAATAAATGAGATTGTCCTCTCCTCCTTGCTACGTCAATATATGATAGGAATGATCTTAATTTTTTTTAATTAACAAGTATTTGTTTTCACTTTCTCCCTCCCTCCCTGAATGAGAAAGGGAAATAAAATGTTTATATCAAATGTGTACAATCAAAGAAAACAAATTCCTGCATTGACCATGTTCAGACATGTATGTCATATCCTGTTCTGCATTTTTAATCCATCACTTGTCTGTCAAAAGGTGGATAGCATGCTTTATCATTAGTTCTCTGGAACTGCAATTTGTTACTGGATTGATCTTTCAGTTGGAAAGCTTGAAAATTATATAATGGCACCTTGGTTCATTCTGTTGAAAATGTGTAGAGAGGATCTGTGCATTAATAAACTCAGCTGGTCTAATCAACAACAATGGTGGAAATAAGGGGTAAAGTAGAAGGAGAAGCAAAGCAGAGGTTGGAAACAGGAAAGCTGAGAAGGAAGGAGAAGAAACAATAGGAAGGCAGGTGGCAGTAAAGGCTATATTGGATGAAAAGTAAACTCCAGGAAGTGAGAAGTAGGTGAGGCAGCAGAGACCAAGGTAAAGGCTGACAATAGAAAAGGCCAGTCAGAGTAGAGAGAAGGTCAGAGTTAAAAGTATGTGGGAGGGACTTACCGAGGTACAGCCAAGATGATGAAGTAGAGAAAGTTCTCAGTTGAGTCCTCCCAATATTCCCCTTTAAATAACTTTAAAATAATGCCTCAAATTGAATTCCAGAATGGCATAGTCAACAAAAGGTCAGAGTGAGACATTCTTTTAACCCAAGATAGTGTAGGAGGTTGGAAATAGATACTTGTGATATGGAGGTGGAGGCTGGCTCAGAGCCCATGTAGATGAACCTCCAGTGGTGGGACTAGGTGGTGGTGACAGAGGCAGCAGCAGTTTCAGGAGCTGTGGTGTGGAGGGTGGAGGCTGGCCTAGAGCAGTATCACTTTTGATTCCAAGAGATCAAGGACTCCGAGGAGCAGTATCGGTTGCAGTCCCAAATGAATAGGTTAAGGACCAGACTGCAGACCAGGAGAGGAGTGAT